TCAAAGGCCTTCCTGCAGTCTAGGAAAACGCAAACTACCCACCCCTCTCTCTCGTGTCTTACTTCTGTTACCTTGTCATAAAACTCCAGGAGGTTTGTGATACAAGATTTGCCTTCCATGAACCCATGCTGGTTTTCATTTATAATCTTGTTCTGTTCCAGGTGTTCGACTACTCTCCTCCTGATAATCTTCTCCATGACTTTGCACACAATACATGTCAGAGACACAGGTCTGTAGTTTAGCGCCTCCTTTCTGTTTCCTTTCTTAAATATGGGGATACATTTGCTGTCTTCCATTTCTCAGGTAGTTGCACAGTTTAAAGGGATTGTTGAAGATTGTGGTTAGAGGGATGCACAGCATCTCTGCCCCTTCTCTAAGGACCCATGGGGAGATGTGCCCGGGGTCCCATCACCTTTGAGGTATCAAGGTCACTTAGCAGCTTCTTCACCTCCTCTCGGTTGTTCGTATGTCATCCAACACTTGTGGGTATATTCCCTTGATGTTCCCTTCTGTGCTGTCTTTCCCACAGCCCTTCCTGTCTCTACTGTAAAAACTTCCTTAAATCTCCTGTTTAGCTCCTCACATACCTCCTGATCATTTCTTGTGATTCTCCACCTTTCGCCCTTAATCTGACACCTGGTCTTTGACTGTTTTTCTTCCTCCTGATGGGGCTATACAAAAGTTTCGGGTCAGTCTTGATTTTCGATGCTATGTCATTTTCATACTGTCGCTGGGCCTCCCTCCTTACCTGTGCGTACTCGTTCCTGGCTCTGCAGCTGATCTCCCTATTTTCGTGTGTTCTCTGCCTTCTGTACTTTTTCCATTCAGGGGCTCGTTCTGGTCTTCCCGTTGTTTCTGTTGCCCTTGGGAATAAACCTTTCCACTGCCTCCTTGCATTTTGTTGTTACATATTCCATGATTTCGTTTACTGGCTTTCCTGCCAGTTCTCTGTCCCACAGGACCTCCCGCAGGAAGTTCCTCAATCCTTTGTAGTCCCCTCTTTTATAGTCAGGCTTTTCCCATTCAACTCATGTTACTCTCTCTACTTGCAGCTCTACTATATATTCAAAGCACAGAACCACTTTGGTCGCTAGCTCCTAGTGGACTCTCATACATGATGTCCTCAATGTCTGAACTGCCCAGGGTGACAAAAGGGTCCAATCTTGCTGGTTCATCCTCCCCTCTCACTCTAGTATGCCCTTTAAAAACATGTTGGTGCATGAGGTTTTCCAGCACCACATCCAACATCTTGGCTCTCCATGTTTCGGGACCCCCATGCAGCTCCAGGTTTTCCCAGTCAATCTCCCTGTGGTTGAAACCCCCCATAACCAGAAACCCTTTGCTCTGCTGGAGTGGGGCTCTTTTTTGCCACCTCAGCAAGTGTGTCCACCATTGCTCTGTTGCTCTCTTCATATTCCTCTCTTGGCCTCCGCATTTTCTGTGGTGGATTATACATCACTGCAATGACCCCCTTTGTTTTCCCCCAGACTGAAGTGTACCTACTATGTAGTCTCTTTCTCCTGTCTCATCTATGCCTTCCATTTTCTCGAATTTCCATCTGTTTTTACGAGCAGAGCAACCCCACCTCCCCCTCTGCCCCTTCTATCTTTCCTCATTATCTGGTATCCTGGTGGGAAGAATTGCATCTGTTTATTGTCTCCGTGAGTTTTGTTTCTGTAACTGCTATGATGTCTGGGACTTCTCATTGATTTTTTTTTTGCCATTCATCATGTTTATTCGTTAATCCATCTGCATTTGTGTACCAAACCTTCAACTTCTGTTCTTATACTGTAACTGTGGTGCGGGGGGTGGGAACAGAGGGATCGGTGTGTGATGGTTGGTTTGGATTGTTCAGTTGCCTTGGGGGTGTCGTGGCTGGGGTCCTTCTGCAGGGTTTCTGGGGGGTGTGCTTGTCCTTCCACTTGTTCCTGGGGGTTTTTCTGCTCTCCTTTTTTCATTTCCTCCCATTTCTCCTTTCGTTTTTGAACTCTCTCTCTTTCATTTGTCTTCCTTTCCTCCTGTATTCTGTATCTTGATCGAGGTACACACTCATGAACTCCTGCCCTTTCCTCTCAGCCGTGCTTTCTCCTGCAGGATCATGGTTCAGGTTGATTCTACCTTGAAAATTACTTTGAGAGGCCGATTCCTTTTCTTTGTGAACCACCCGATTCTCCGAAAATTTGCCACCTTGGTCATGTCCCCCTCGCCTATCACCTTCATGATACCTTCAATCACTTTTTTCTCCTCCTGCTTTCTTTCATCATAAGTTTCCCCTTTAGCTTCGTCTAGCCCATAGACAAACACTGATCTCTCCCTTTCCACCTCCCACTGTGACTCCCATTGCCATCCTCTGAGTGTTTTAGTTCCTTCCCATGGAGTGTTCTTCCTTCAGTCCCTTCCCTAGCTATGGCCCCTATGCTCCTTGGTTTGTCCTTCCTGCTCACCTGTTCCTGGCCCCCACAGGTGTCTGGTAAGGTCCCTGCACATGTCCTAGTTCCTTTCGATGTTTCCAACCTCTCATTCTGTCCTAGGTGTCCCTGTCTTTGTTTTGGCCCCATGTGGGTTTGACAGGACCTCTGCATACAGTTTAGTTTCCATGTTCCCCTTTAGACCCGTTGTCTGTGTCTGATGTAGCCATTGCCCATGCTACTTCTGTAATATCTTTGTCTCTATGCTGTTTCAGTTGTGTCAGCTCCTCTTCTAATTTTTTATCTTGTTTTCTGCTGCTGTGGCATGTTGCTTCCAGCTTGTGCATTCTGCTGCTAACCTTCTTCCATCTTCCTTGCCAGCTTTTAGTCTCCTTTCCCAGTCTTCATCCCTTTTTTTAAGCTCTGGGCCCCCCAGTCCTCCCTCCCAGATTCGTCCTTCGAGCCCCTTGTTCTCATCCTAGTTCTAAGTTCCCCCGTTGCTCCACAGAAGGAAGCGGGAGGGTGTTTAGGGGGGAGGAGAATAGATGGTTGGGGAGAGGGGATGGGTGGTTATGGGGAGGGGGAGGATGGTTATTGGAGGGGGAGAGGTAGGTTGGTGGAGGGGTTAGATGGTTTGGGGGGGGTTAGATGGTTTGGGGGAGGGGGAGGTGGCTAGGGTGAGGTGGTTAGGGGAGGGGGGATTATGTGCTTGAGAGAGAGAGGGGATGGATGGTTATAGGGGAGGGGAGGTGGTTATTGAAGGGAGTTTGGGGGAGGGGTTAGATGTTTGGGGGAGGGTTAGATTTGGGTTTGGGGAGGGTAGGTGCTAAGTAAGTTTAGGGAAGGGGGAGAGGTGGTTAGGGAGGGGTATTGTTTTGTTCAAGTGTATATGTGCTTGTTATTTTGCTTGTGTATGGGTTTCATGTGTGGGAGAGAGAGAAAGGGGAAAAGGGGGGGAAGGGGAGGGGGAGAAGAATGAGGACCCTTGGAATAAGGGGAGGGGAAAGGATGAGTGACCTTGGAAGTAGGGGGAGGTGTGAAAGGTTCAGGGAGGGGGGAAAGGGGTCAGTTGAAAGTGACCCGATTGTATA